TCCTATAAAGAACACCCTGTTCTTATTCTGAGACAGTAAAGGGTTGAGTTATAATTTAGCAGCAGGATCTGTGGAAGACAAGGTACAGATGTGTTCAATATGTCACAAAGAAGGTTATTAACTTCACACAGTAATTTTACAGCATTCCCACATTGCATAAAGGTACCTGCTAACCTTTGAACACATAAAGCGCATAAGAGGTTTTGAGTAGTATTTAGCATGTATCTTTTTCTTGGTGTTAGGTAGAATATAATTTTCAGTATAGTGCACAATTTGATTATTACACCAGAGCGTTATAATGTTCTCCAAATTTACATACCAATGATAATCTTTTAAATCCATATTCCATTGAACAGCAGGTGTTTGTGTGTGTGTGTCTGATTTTTATACAGGCTAGAAGTGATTTGCTTTTGCACAAATCATAAAATGCAATAAAACAAAATGTGCTTCCCTTCTCAGAGCCATAAGTCCATCAAATCTGAAAACACAGGCATGATACACACATTTCTGGATTCAGTGTGACTCAGGCTTTCTGAGGATCTCACTATCTTTGGTGTTCACTATGAATAGACATCCATAACTCTGCTTAGAAATTATTTTTAAAAGGAACTCCTTTTAACTCAAAATTGTGCCTGAGAATCATTACATTAGCAATAATTAGTAGTTATACGTTATGCTAAGTATCAAAGGAAATAAGTGATGCTATAATGGTTTGTACATAACTGAATACATCCATCCATCTATTATCCTGAAGAGGGTCACAGGGGGGCTGGAGCCAATCCCAGCTGGCATTAGGCAATAGGTGGGGTCCATTCTGGACAGGTCACCGGTTGTTCACAGGGCTAACATGTAGACCAACAACCACACACACTCATGGGCAATTTAGAGTCACCAGTCAACCTGTCTTTGGACTGTTGGAAGAAGCCGGAGTACCTGGTGACAACCCATAAAGGCTCAGGGAGAACATGCAAAAAGAAAGGTACCAGTCAGCCTGGTTTGGAACCTGGAATCTTCTTGCTGGGAGGTGACAACTCTAAACACTGCACCACCATGCCTTGCTGAATACACTGCAAATTTTATGCTAAGCTAATATCTCTTATCTGTATTTTATTTCCCAAAATATCAAACTATTTCTTTAATAATAGAAAAAAAATTTAAAATTGTTCTGTAATTTCCTAAATCAGCTTGGCAGCATCCATTTTTTGGGGATTGTTTTTAACCATGGCTTTAGATTCAAAGGCAACACACTCTTTATTTGTTTAGATTTGTTTATGTTGAAAATAAGAAAAATATAGTTGAGTAAACAATCTCATCACAATGCCACTCAGCAGCTCCTGAGCAGCTACTAAATGGACTTTGTGGTCAACTGTAGTTATGTGGCTAATGGTGGTGTAAAGCAACCCAGCAGTGAGTGAACACGTGGCGGTTTGTTGTCTTGCAGACCGTTATGCCTGTTGGTAATGCGATGTTTGATTGCCACAGTGCCGGTAATGTGTGATTACTGTTTGGCCTCACAGCTCCTCATTAAAATATATAAACATATATTTTTCATGAATTGTGTCCGCTCACTAGGATGTGGGTTGCATCCTACTGCGTAACAATATTGTGAGACTGGACAATCACAGGAAGATATTTTTAAAGTAGTTGAATTTGGTTCCTTCTTCTCCCTGGATAATCCTAATGCAGTAAAAGTCAACCTTTTCCTCTCAAGTTCAAACAAATCTGTACAAATATTGTACTTCATTTGCAGTTTTAATTGAAATATACTGTATTTCCCTTGAAGTGAAGTTTGCAGTTTTCAGTGGAGTTGGTGACACATCATTTATGATTTCCGAAAGCACTTGAAGCAGCATTTGTACTAGCTGAACCATTTGTTGCAAACAAACACAGACTGAAGTTAGCTGTTTCACACATTTCCTTTGGCTTGCCATTACTTCTAATTGGCATAATAGAACCACTTCCTGCTGGGTTTTTACCACCACCAAGGAGGTTATGATTTTGGCTCCATGTCTGTGTGTGTTTGTTTGTTGCTTAGCAGAGTTACAGACAAACGACTGAATGGATCATCAGCATACACATATGTGCATATATATATGTACACATTTCCCATCTTAAAAAAATAATATCGCAATCAAAAGTTATCAAAATTGTTTTAAATTTGACACACATATGTAGGGTGGCAATGTCTGTCACCAGACCAAATTTCATCCATATCTGATCTGGATTCCAGATCTGATGGCCATTTAAATGTAACATCAAAAACCCCATTTAACATATATTGTCTACCATAGCTTGGCTAATAATGAAGACAGAACCCTGAAATGTTCAGGTAAGGTGCACAGTACAAATGCCCTACGAGTTGATCCAGATCCGATCCATTTTATGTTGTTATGGATCTCATTTTTCACAAGGGACCAATTTGTGTGAGTGAATGTTGTGCCTTGGTGGAGGTACATGTGCTCTCTTGTTTATTATATCTTCTGTTCAATTTTTGATATTTGAAACAAAGGGAAGAAAGGGGGAAAAAATTAGAGAATATAAAAGATTCCTTCATTCCAGTAGGAATGAACTGCCTCCTCCTAGCTGCTGTTACCATCTCATAAATAAAACACCGCATTGTTTGTAATGAGTATTTTGTGTTCTGCCATGTACTAACACCATCACTCATGTAGGAAATGGTTTTCTGTTCTCAGGAGACTGCTTACAACCCGTGTGGGTTTTGGCTTTTCGATTTAAACCTGGGTTATGTTATCTACACCATTATTCAACAGCAATGTACCAGAACTTCATCTATAATACATTCTCCTAGATACAGAAGTTCATATGCACACTTATAGTCACAATATAAGTGCAGCTCGGGGCATGAATATTTAGTTCTGCAACAGACTTCAGCAGTAAACTGTTTGTGTTGTGCTTGGTATACAGTTGTCATTTGATATTGGCTGTTTGTGATGAGCTCAGTTGTACCTCTTGACTTGTTAATGGTGTCAGTGAGTGTAGATTGCCACCAGGTGGTGAGTGTATATATATATATAAGGCTTGTATTCAAGCCATTGTCTCCTGGAAACGTTTACATGCATATAATTTGCAATAGCTAATGGTTTTGTAGGAGACATAATACAGTACCACCGATACTATCAAGATACTAAAGAAAAACTTTAATAGCTCTCAAGTCACAAAATGTGAAATGTATTTGCTAAATGTTCACCAAAAACATATTTAACTGATTTTCCTACAACATCCACTTTCCTTGTATTAGACCTTTTTATGGTGATATTAGGGTTAATTAGGAAAAAACTGCAATACTAGTTAAGAATTGTCAAAAAAAACACGAGTAGTGACCTTTTTATAACATGTAACTGAAGCTACAGTTTATTCCTAACAAACCGCTAATGACATATCCCAGTCTCTAGTATCAGTGCCTTATGCTTATTATGATCTCTGTGTGTTGCAAAAGTGTAGCATTCCTACAGCTGAAAAACACTGCCAACACTGGAATGCTTGAAGTGTTTCATGCCCATTTTGTGTTTGACAACTAATAATGTAGCACTAGCAAGTTATGCTATTAAATTAATGCTAGTAGTTTTGTGTCTTAATTCATTAGTCTGAAGCAGTGTTGTAGTCGAGTCCCCTGTGTTCGAGTGGAGTCACCAAAGAATAACTCAAATTGAATCTGAGTTGAGTCCCCATTACCTGAGTCAGAGTCATCAAAGTCTACATTAAACGAAATTGGCACATCTCTTACTATTTTATAATAGAATAATAATGTATTCAGGTGTCACACTAGACTTTCTCATTGTCCGTCATTTAGGATCATAAAGATTTCATCATAATTTATTATTACCCCTCAATTAAATTTTTATTTTTTAATGATAAAACATATTTAATAGCATTTTTCATTCATTTTCATTTCATTTTTTAAACAATTCATGTACAGAACAAGCTAATGTGCAGCCATCTTTCATGTCAACACCACATAAAGCAGATGACTTTTTGGCAGTGACAGCAAAGGCCACTAAAAATACTTCAACCAGTGTGTGTAAACAACACACACAAGACGATAGGCCAACTGAACTAAACTCAGATGACCTGCTGTAGCTTGGCCTGCTGCAGAGGCGACTGTCACTAGGTTTCTCATGGGCCTTACAATTTTGATCTGAAAGCTGAACCCATGCTCTGCTGCCGCACTGGAGACTGGACCTGCCAGCTCCACTTCATTCAGAGTTGTGAACTTGGAAAACATTTCTCTCTGGAAGTGATTAGAATTTTCTCTGTATGTGATATTGCCTGATCCTGACGCAGTCACTTCACCAAGAGGAATCTGCTGCACATGCTCCTTCTGCACCAGGGGCACAGCTTCACCCCTCTGTGATCCGTAGTGGTCACAGACACAGTCCGTGGCCTCCAGTCCTTGGCTATTCAACGGGCTGTCAGCTCCCAGATAGTGCATTGAGTAGGTGCAGTTTGATGCATACAAATCATTTATAGAAAGGTGGCGTGTATGCTTAACGGAAGTGAATACCACAGATACAGCACAGTGCAAATGAACAAGTTTTAATATTAATATTCTTTGTTAAATTATTATAGCCTATTATAAAAAAAGGCAAAAGAAAAAAGTCGAGTGCTCCTATCCAACTTCTGAGTCCAAATGCAGTCAGTGCTTGAGATTGAGTCCAAGTCTGAGTCATCAGTGTTCAAGTCCAAATTGAGTCAGGAGTCCTAAAAATCTGGACTCAAGTCGGACTCTAGTCCAAGTCCTGGATTCAAGTACTACAACACTGACCAGTAACACTAGTTTGAAGTGTGACAATTTTCTCTTTTAAAAAAATAATAGATTTGTTCTTGAGCTAAAAAGGTATTTGCAATATATTTCAAATGCTTTAAAATCATATATCAGAACTCTTTGTAAAATCATTACTCCAATAATTGAATAAAAATTCTACAGTAGCATCAGGAAGAGAAAACATGTTCATGTGAGCTACATTTGTTCTTCACTGCAGGAAGTGATGTCGGTGGAGGAGGAGTGCACTTCCTGTTACTGCCTGATGGACTTGACCAGCTGTCACCTGCTGCTGGACCAGCCAGGCTCATACGCTCTGGTGGGTGAGCCCCTGACACAGGCCGCCATCAAGAGGCTGAAACTGGCTGTGTTTGGAAGCATGGAGGCCAGCTCCATGAACTACAGTCTGCGGGTATACTGTGTGGATGACACGCCGCACGCCTTTCAGGTGGGGAAGGACGGGTTATTTGCTTGGGTTCTTTTCCTCATTATGTTTATCCAGCAGGTGCTCAGCCGTGTTTATTTCCACCAGCGTTGTGATTCACTGTCTCATTTATTCATAAAGAGGATGAGTAATAGGGGCTTAATTAGCAAATGTATGAATTTTGGCTTTCTTGAGTTGAGCCATGTTTTAAAATGCTAATTCATGAGGTAACACAAATTAAATACAAAACGGGTGTATTTAAAAATGGTCACTAAGGTGGAATGTGTGTGTGTGCGCAGTAGTTTGCATTCCCTAATACTTCAAAACACTCTTGTTTAAGTGGAACATGGAAAATTCTGTTTACTCATTTTGCCAATGCTTGATTTGATTTGTTTATTCACGAAATTGCTTCATCACTGGTACTTCGTTGTTTATTTGTATTTGTATGTCCCGACATTAGCATTAGCCTGTCTCTCAAGTGCTGTAGATTTTGTTGCAGAAGAAAGTGGGTAGTAAAATGTGCAGCCCACTGGAATGCTGTGCACACTGGCTGCATAAAATATAAACTGACTTAAAAGTTTAATGTACTGCCTCCAGCTATTGAGAGGGCATTTGCAGGATCAATTTAAAGCTGCATCGATAAATATTTTTATATCAATGTATCAAGTGACTGTGTCTAGTGTCAATGGGGTCACTCATAGTGATAAATCTACAAAGAATTGTCACTGAGTTCCCCTCAGTTCTACTAAGTTCTTTAGATTCTTTTAGCTAGTTGTTTAGGTTTTAATGCCCACAATTTTTGTGTTTTGATTCACCTACTTTGCTTCTTATCAGCCACATTTCCAATGGCAGGAAAGATTTTTCATCCAAAAAAACACTCTAATAAACTCATAATGCACTAGCTGCTCAGCACCTGATGGCAGCTAGTGGCTACCGTGGCATGTTTAAGCAACTAGACATACAGAAAATTTACCCAGAATTTAGTGGAGGCCAAACCAGAGCTAGCAGTAATCTACAGTCAGTTATCAGATATCCAGAAGAACAATTTCACATAAAAGCTAATGTTTTATGTAGCTGCTGAATGTATAAATATGCTGCATAATAACTTTTTGCTAACACGTTCAGCATATCAACTTTTTAAGGTGATAATATGTCAGCAGTGTGTTTAGTTTCTTCCGTTGCCCCATAAGGCCAAAACATTTCATGCAGATTTAAAATGTTTGGTTCACCGAAATGACAAAAAGACGTGCATTTTCCCAACAGTCCCGATTCAAATTCAGAATACAAACACAGCAGCCTTCCTGCACCTGTCTACCACCACTTCCATACTTTAGTACCACTTTGGTGATTCCTGCTCTCCTACGAAGTACATACTGTAGGCCATGGCCCAGATTCAAAGTGAACATCTTGGCTTTATACGGTTTTTGCCCAAGTTCTACAAAGCAGCAGGGACCTCAACATGTGCTCTCTATCAGTTAAATCATGTGAATGATTGCAGATTGGTTACCAGTGTGAAACAATACTGCAGATCTGATAGTGGGCACTCTAACAGCTTCTAGTAAATTTAATAGACTGAGACAAAGGCAGCCATATTGTCATCACTGCCATTCAAATGTTAAACAGTCATTTTTTAAAAACTTGTTTTGACTTGATAATCCTTCAGCAACCTATGGGCTTTTCAAACAATGAAATCTCGTCAGCGAACATCAGGGAAATCAACCTTCTGTCCCCCCCGGAGAGACCAGGCTAACACAGGAGCTGAGCCAAGTTGAACAGAGCACCGCAAGCCTCATGACTGGCTCTGCCTCCCAACCACCTTTCTGTCATGCTGCAGCCGTTAACGGCAGCTGGCTTTAAAATGGGCTTGGTTTATGAATTCCCAGCCTGCTGAGCAGATGCCAGATTTTGCACATCCCATGGGTTCCTGTCTGTTAGCACCACATCTCTACTGTGTGTTTTTCCAAGCTCTGGCACAAAGTCAATCACAGACTGGATTCAGGATCAACAGGAAGCCTGATGCAAGACAAACACTTATGCAACAGAGACATTTAGGGACAGCAAGAAAGGGTTATGATTGGCAGGATTCTGATCTCTTCTGTAGTATACCACCTGGCTGTTTCTGAAAAATTTCTTGATGCCAATTAATTGATTTAATAAGATAATGAGATGAAAAGATGCTTCATCTTGAAATTAGCAAATATGGAGTTCAGGTCTTAAAATCACCAAAAATGATCTGAATTTATGTGTGTATATCAGTTGTGTCAACAGACAGGGAAAGTGTTATTGCTTGGGAATAGGCAGAAATAATGCCTCTCCACCAATAAATCTACAGTCTTATGCAAAAGTTTAGGCACCCCTTGATAAATAACAGATTTTGGTGATTTTTTATTTGAACAGATGTTAACACAGTTTCTCTTGGAAATGGAAAAAATGCACAATATTTTCTGCAAACAGTGATGCATAGTTACTTCTTATGCCATAAATTGAACAAAAATAAAAAATAAAAACATTATTATGGCATGGTGCAAAAGTTTGGGCACCCTAAGAGTTCCAGAGTCTCAAAGTCTCTCACAAGGTATCAGACCTTAATCAGCTCGTTAGATCTGATGCACAGCAACAGCTGTCATTGGTAAATGCCAATTTCAAAGCTGTACAAATACTTTGACTCTTCAAACCTTGTGCACACACTTGTGGACACCCAGCAACCATGGGTTCCTCTAAGCAGCTGTGTAAGACCCTGAAAATGAAAGTTATTGACGCCCACAATGCAGGAGAAGGCTACAAGAAGATAGCAAAGCGTTGTCAGCTTGCAGTTTCCACAGTAAGAAATGTAATTAAGAGATGGCAGATCAGGGGAACTGTGGAGGTCAAGATGAGATCTGGAAGACCAAGAAAACTCTCGGACAGAACTGCTCGTATGCTGGTCAGAAAGACAAATCAAAACCCCCATTTGACTGCAAAAAACCTGCAGGAAGATTTAGCAGACTCAGGAGTGGTGGTGCACCGTTCCACTGTGCAGCGATGCTTGCACAGACAAGGCCTTCATGGAAGAGTCAGCAGAAGAAAACCTTATCTGCGTCCCCATCATAAAATCCAACGTCTGAAGTATGCAACAGGACATCTACAGAAGCCCGATGCGTTTTGGAAACAAGTGCTGTGGACTGATGAAGTTAAAATAGAACTCTTTGGACACAATCAGCAAAGGCATGTTTGGAGAAAAAAAGGAGCAGCATTTCATGAAAAGAACACCTTGCCAACTATTAAGCATGGGGGTGGATCTATCATGCTCTGGGGTTGTGTTGCAGCCAGTGGCACAGGAAACATTGCACGGGTGGAGGGAAGAATGGATTCCACTAAATACCAGCAAATTCTGGAAGCAAACATCACACCATCTGTAAAAAAGCTGAAGCTGAAAAGAGGATGGCTTCTACAACAGGACAATGATCCTAAACATACCTCGAAATCCACTATGGAATACCTCAAGAGACGCAGGCTGAAGGTTTTGGAATGGCCATCACAGTCCCCTGATTTAAACATCATTGAAAATTTGTGGGTAGATCTTAAAAGAGCTGTGCATGCAAGACGACCAAAGAATATTACAGAACTAGAAGCCTTTTGCAAGGAAGAATGGGAGAAGATCCCAAGTACATGTTGGAGAGAGAAAGGATACAAGGTTCCTACCTGCAAATAGCATAGTATTAGCATTCTACTAGCAGACAGTACCTTCCAGTGTAAACGCTACTAGAAAATACTGTTCACCTCAACCTACAGCCTTGGTGAAGGATTATTTCTACAGTGTCCTCAATTCTAACATCATTAAGAAGAAAGAACTAATTTTAAATGATGAGTAACTATGTTATCAGCATAATTATAGTCATTTTGGAATTCCATCTTGAAGAATGCAGTGGTTTTCAGTTTTGGTTACCATTACATTAGTTACTTGTGGTAAATCAAATAAACAGCTACAGTCTACAGAAAACATCAGCAAATTTCAAATATGTGAACATTATCTCAGATCCAAGTTACATGCTGATTTATACAGTAAAACCACAGAAATGAGAGGGGTCAACTGTGGACCTCATGTCTGGGGAGCTGAGGTATATGGAAATACACCTCCTTTAGGGCCACCATGCAGAAGGGAGTTGCATCACTACTGTTTGCTGCTCCAGATTTTGAGAATGACATGTTTCTCTGCTCTTTAAGTAGTAGGTGTTAACATAGTAGACTAGCAACAAGTAACAAGTAAAACCAGCTAAATAGTATTCACATGTACTGTAATATACTGTACATACCTTCCAGAATATTTTTGAACTTATTCCTGTTCAGAATTAAAAAAAAATGTAAATGATGCAATGCAAGGAATCGTGGATTGCATATTACTATAAGAAAACAGGTAAATGCAAGTGTGGCTTTGTTAGTAAAGTAAAACAATATTACCACATCCATCCGAGACATCTGACAAGTGTTTTTTTTTCCACCTAATGCCTATGTCATATCCTTCAAGATTCAAGATTTTTATTTGCCATTTATGCATAAACAGACAGTCTAGTCATATAGGAATTCTTGTACAGGCCTCTCCTGGAGTCAAGTAAAAATTTTAAGCCTAAAGAATGAACACCTAGTCTAAATATAAGATCACCCAAGAACACAAAAGAACACAAAAATCAAGAATACCCAAGAATATAAAACAGGTGGGAGTTGGTACACCGAGGTCTGTCAGCTTCTCAATCAGCCTGCCTGAGTGAATGGTATTGAATGCAGAAATGTAGTCCAGGAACAGCATCCCAACGTACGTTAACGTACATTGTTATCCAGGTGTTTCAGGGTGTTTCAGGGTGTGGAATAAAGCCAGAGCCAATCCACTGATCTATTGGGGTGATAGGCAAACTGGAGGGGGTCTACAGTGTCCGGGACCATGTGGTTAATGTGTGTGAGGACCAGTTTCTCTAAGCACTTCATGGCGACCGATGTGAGCGCCACTGGCCTGAAGTCATTCAGAGTGCACATTGCACATTAATGCATATTTAAGAAGCTAGCTTGCTTTAAGTAGAAATTGTTGCAGATTAATTTTCTGGGACCAGTTGTTCAAAAAGTTTAGTCTGGATCAGAATGATGTTTTTCTTTCCAGGATCAGGTTATCCATATTGCTTTTGTGCTGGTTTTTCAAAGCAGCATGGGATTGGATTACCTTGATCCAGATACAGACTATCAAATCCAGATTGTATCACAGTGCAGGCAACTTGCTAGGTAAACTAGCCAGTGTGGGGTCACTAGGTTTCTTTGTTTGAACAGAAAACAGCATAATAAAACAATACAAATATCACATTCCATTTTCATTTACTTATAATCAGTCAGACCCCCTCATATGACCCACAACAAATAAAACAACCACATACACATCATTCACAAATTTCTGGATATTTAGAGTTTATTTGAAATCATAAAAAGGCTAAATGTCCAGTAGTTAACGCACACACACACACACGTAACACTCAGGGTTCCTCATTTGTTCATCAAAGACCCGCACTTTGAAGCTTTTAGGAAGCGGATCTGAAGTCTGGTTTTGGTTTATGATACTGGAAGGTTTTGTAGGTAGCATAATGTCTACTTTATTTGCCTTATCACTGTAAAGATTTATTAAAAATTAAGTGCAACATATATTTAATGTATGTATGTTACATAATACAGATTGTAAATTGTTGAATTAATTGACTGAGATTTATTACATTTGTTCCTGGTATTCATCCTGAATCCACTGCTCTGCTGGGATAAGGAGAATCATGATTTTTTTCAGTCAGTTATCCCTTTCCTACTACAATATTTTAAACAACACAGAATGAAGGTTTGATCCAAATCATATAATCCAATTTGATTTCAATATCCACTTTTTTCTTTTTTCTTTTGAACTACCAGTTTTCAAGATTTGATCCAATCTGATAACTTAAATCTGATCAGATTACTTCTGAACAACTGGCCCCTGTTGGTCAACTAATCGATTAATTGGCGCAGCTCAAGCTACTCTAGACCTGAATAGATAACTTCGCCACCATATTCACATTCCATAAAGTGTAAATAGCATTTTAGTATCACTGCCATCAGAAATCTAAATCCTGTATGTTGTTTTTTATTTGAAATGAGCCTTAAATTCTCACATCCCATTTTTTCATGCACACATTGACTTTTTATTAAATCGAATATTTTCAAATAAAACCGCACATCTTTTGAAGTGTCATTTCAGCCAGTGCAATTGTCACTTATTGTCTATGCAGAACTCACCTCCCACCACTCACCTTTGAATGTAAATCACCACATCTTGACAGTTTCAGATGAGTCCAAGCTAGGAAACATTATCACAATTCCAAGCTGGTTACAGAACATACTTTATGAGAAAACCATAGAAGTCCAGGGTTATCTGGTAGCAAAATGTCCAAAAGTTTTGAAAGCACATGGCAGATGAGAATCATCATATTTCAGGTTCGCTGCTGTCACATTTGTTTTTCCTAAAATGTATTTCCAACAGTTGCCAACAGTTGATTGCTTTCACACCTACAGCAACAACAATATGCAATAGGCCTCAGGTACACTCTTTTGCAAACACATTACAGTGTATAGCCAAACATATACAGTACACATGTAGATGAGCTTTTGGACACTGAGTCAGAAACTTTCAGTGTGGCCTGGCATTAGTTGTAACTCTGTTCCCTGTCTCTTCCCTTTGTGACTGACATAGCCCAACACCGAACCATCCCACCACGACACTAAACAGTGATGACCTGCGAGCAACAAAATGCTCTTTCATCATCACAAATTCACTTTGGTAGATGGAAGCACACGTTTCCCCAAGCTTCAGGATGTAACGTTGAGGCTGCAAATGTGATGCTAATGTGAGAGCATAGATTGAAGGCTTTGTTTAGTGGGGACTCAAAGTCACATTTTGGTGGCTTGTTTCTGTGTTAACACCTGATGAGCCAGTTAGTGGATGTGGCAGAGGAAAGGATTCACAACAGGTGTTTGTGCTGATATGCAAAGATACGGAGAGGATTCTTGTATTCTTATTTGCTCACATTCATCTCACCCCCCCACCCCCCACCCACCCCACATATTCTTCTATCTCTCTTCTCCCTTTTTTCACATCCCTTTCCTTCACTTCTTTCCCTTCTTTTTTCATGGCTTTCCCTGTTCCTTTTTTCTCCTCTCCTTTCCTTTCCTTTCCCTTCCTCTCCAGGGAGTGGTGGCTGCAGAGAAGACCAGAGGGGGTCAGCTCCTGGAGGAGCCAAAGACGTTGCCTTTCCGAGCAAACACCTTCAGCCTCCAGGTGTCCATCCAGGATGTTCCCCAGTTCCTGTGGAGCATCAAACCCTTTACCACATGTCAGGTAACCATGGCAGTAAATGATAAGTCATACTGCTAAGAGCCAGTTACTGTGGTCTAACTGCTCTGCTGCTCGCAGGGTTCACTTATCAGTCAGGCAGTGTGAGGAGAGGTGTGCTGTTTTTATGAAGCAAATGATTCTCTAGTTGGCACTACTCACTTTGTGTATTGTGTGAATGTATTTTACTGTAAATTAGTCAATTACATTCTAATATAGCTCCTATGGGATTTTATGCAGTAGTTTAATTAATTAATAGTTTATATGAACTATAGTAAATAAATTATTTTTCTCATGGCATCTCAGGGTCGACCCATGAGACATCTTTAGTACAACAGTACAGTACAACAGCGAACAGCTGTACTGCTCATACATCAGGCCAAGAAATTAGTGATAAATAAGAGCAATAATAATGATAATCCACTCATTACTTGAACATAATGTTGTTACTAATTAAATTTGTTTTTTTTTTCCAAACAGCCATTGCTGTGATTAATTCATATCCATCTCCTTGCTTGTATTTAATATAATTTAATTTAAATATGACTTTTTAAAAGATTTTATTAGATTAAAGGGTCATACATTTCTTATTTTTAATAAGTTATCAAGTCATTCATGTGTTGTTGTTTTTTTCAAAAAGATTATGGTGAATGTTGATTACTACTGCAGTTTTTCATGGTAAGCAAATGCATTTTACCAATAATTGGGCAAAATTTTACAGCCTGTCATTTGCACCATTTATCCAAAGTGTTGCTTTTTTCCTAGTACTGTACCCTGTAGGCATCCAGCATGTACAAAACAAATACTTATTGTATAATTTACTCCTGCTTAAAATGCTCAATTGTTATTTTGTTATTCCCCATTGTCATGTTTTCTTCCTCTTTTCCTCTCTCAGTTATTTTATGTTTACCTCATTCATACAACAAAATTACACTGTAGTGTTTCCCATAACTCAACCAGCAATAGATTGTGAGAAGACCCCATTGTTTTTGTTTGGTTAAGATATTGTACAGTATTAGACTGATACAAATTTTTTTGTGACGATCAAAGTGCACCTAGATTCTAAATGATAAGGCACATACAGCACTGTGGATTGTTTCAGTAGCATTTTTACAGTTAGTGATATTGTTAGGTAAAGTGGAACAAAAAGTTAAAATCTTCTTAATTAATAGAAATAATGAACTGAGCTGAGCATGTGCTCATTTTAATACAGCAGTCAGATCCAACTTAGCATTCATGTTAGCTGCTTACCTGAACTGTTTAGCTGTCTTAGTTATATGGCTCATTCTGAAGCAGGGTGCTGAGTGACACAGCCAAAGTCCCACTGAATTTAGCAAACAACCTTTGCAGTGTGTTAGATAGTAATGTTTTGTACCCACTGTTGTCACATATGTTCCTATATTTCTGTATGTGTCCACCATTTTGTGCTTTAAACCTGCATTTAACATGAACTCTGCAGTCACCTGCGATTCTTTCATGAGGATCATAAAGATGGATGTGACTTGGGATTAAACAGTTTTGTGTTTGTTTTGCTTGCAGGAGCGTTAAGATTCAAGCGGTATTAGATGGAAGGCACCACAGCAGTCAATGAATACTGTTTTGTACCTTGTTTTTGAGCTGTTTGCAGAGCAGCTGAGTTGTTTTGCCACTGTACACTGTTGTTGCTTAAAGATCTGAATGCAGGGTGAAAGCTGTGTGTTTCAAAGACACCCACCCTCTCCACGGCCTTATTTATGAGGACCTCAGGATGGTATGGAGGCAGCACAACCTGCTTTGGTGGAGCAGGTGTAGAATAATAGCCGAGCGTTGTGGCATACATCAAGTCAGCTTTTAGTGCTAAAGTGCATTCAAGCTTTCCACGTCCATCAACCCTCCGCCTCCTCTGTCACTGCTCCCCGGCTCCATTATCTGCTGCTGTGAGCTGCACTGGTCATCTGAGATCAAAGCCGCAAGGGTTAAATCTTCAGTAGGCACACCGGCCACCGTGTTTAATGTCACAGCCTTCACTAAGATTCATATACAGTGACTTTTAATATTTAGATATAGCAGAGCTGAGGTCAAGGTTGTTTTCCCACTGATGTGCCCATTCTCTGGAAATGAAATATACATCAAAGACATCTTTCCCCTGTTCCGCGTACATCCAGTGCTTACAGTACTGAGCCTGTGAGCTGCTTCTGCTATCAGAGATCTGTACGAGGGATTCAAGCTATAGTTGTAAATGATATCAGGACTTCTTCCTTTCAAAAAAATATTTCCAAGCATAAAAATATCAAGCCATGGAATCGCTGAGACTTCACAGCCAACTCTTACTTTTTATCTTGTCATGTGCATGTGACAGTGTGGCCGCAAGTAGAGGATGAAACCAAATCATTTCATTTAGATCATATGTTAATATTGCTCATTGCTGTGTACTTTATTACATCTCTGATGTCTTCTTCTGCCTGCTCAGGAATTTTCCTTTCCCCAAGTGTGGTGCAGCAACCAGCAGCCCCTGCACTGTGCCTTCTCTCTGGAGAGATACAGCCCTGCCACCTCCCAGCTCTCCTGCAAAATCAGCGTGCGCCAGGTCAAAGGCCATGAACAGATTCTGCAGGTCTACACAGCTGTGGCCAAGGTGAGGCTCTGCAGCTGTGGGAGAAGGAAAACAGGGGAGGTTGGTGGGGTTGGTGCTTAATTTTCTCCCTCAACCTTTATGTAACCTTCCTAGAGTGTATCCACTGACAGCAGGGCCAGCTCTCCTGAGCTTGCATTGTGTATTAATAGAGTCAGGATGGTACTGTTTCTTCCCTTCTCCACAGAGTTATGCTAAACACAGACAACACAGATCCAGCTGTTCACCACATTTGCTATATAATTTTTTTTACCTTTATTTGTCCAGGGATACACATGTTCCAGCAAACAGCCTGTTTCGCATTAACATGCACTAACACCTGGGAGCTGCCCTCTGTAGCAACAATCCTCTGTCAGCCGCTGAACAGCTCCACTGGAGCAGCTAGGAGGTAGAAATCCTCACTCCAGAGCACCTTGACAGAAGCTGTTAAGGCGGACGAGAGTGTTAGTCATTGATTTTACCCAATTGCTTTTTCACAACCAGCCACAAACATGCTTGTCCTACCTCAAGGCCGCCAATACTTTTTAAACTGATGGTATTACAGTCAGACACACGTAAAATATTATTTGCAGTTTCATTCCATGGTTTGTTTTAATCCTACCTTGATGGTTAGTTAGTGAGAGTTTGTCCGATCTGAAGAAGAATTAAGTGTTTATGGGAGCTGTGAGAGGATTCATCATCATCACCGCCTTCATAATGGCCATCACACAGTACTGTGGGCTGTTGACAAACAAGCAGAGATATTAATTTTTTTTAAAAAGCTCAAAAAATAACCACAAAAAAATGACATAATTACACAGTCCACACTGTCTTCTGTTTATTGTTCATTTAGTTTTTTTTTACCCCAGCACAAAATGGTCATATGTTATGACAGACTGCTTTTCCACTAAAACATATAATAGATTCATACTTGGATCAAAATTCTGTGTAGAGGTGTTTATGCACCAGCTACTCCAGTATACTGTAAAAATATCAGAGGAACAAGATAAACATACATATCATGTATGTGACACCATGGACAGGTAGAACGACATGTCATGTCAAACACCTGTATACAAGTGCCCGACTGCTGATTTACACATTTCCTTGTCTAATTTTGATGAAAGTTCTCAAAGTTCTTTCTTTACAGCCCAGCCTTCACAAGAAGGAGTGTATACATTGTATTTTACACTGTGGGTCATTAGGTTGGATCTGTATCATCCATCTCGGTATCATGCAGAGCACCAACATGGCAGTTTTAGTGCCACTTTATGCCAAGTACCTCATATTTTAACCAAAAATCTGCAAAAGAAAATGTAAATGGGTTAGTATACTACTTGTGCTCAGTACACTACCACTGCCTTTATGCAAATATTAGATGTTGGGTGCACAGTTGGTGGAGCCACTGATCTAAATAAGACACGTTTGTTTCACGTAGCAGTTAAAGGAATATTACAGCTTCATCATCAGGCCGCAAAGTCCTGATGTTTTATTGGTACATCAGTTTTTCAACCTAAGACAGCACAAAACCTTTTTTTTTAAATTCATTCCAACATTTCCTTTCAGATTTTGCTATGCACAAACTGAAAATCTGCAGAAAAACCTGGCAAAAATGCACATATGGTTATCTTATAACTGGCTCTTTCTGGGAAATCTATTTTGAAATTATTTGAATTAAATGACTGGTTTGAATGACTTTTAACACTTCTTACATAGCGTATTATATTGTTGTAGTAATGTGTGTATCTCATTGTCTCCACTGCCTCACTTAAGTGACAAGCAAACTTTACTGTCAGGCAGTTTACACTTTGAATCATCCACAGTTCTCTCACAATAATCCTTCTATATTGTTTTCCTTTATTGCTAGTTTTCTCCAGTTTGCATTAGCAAAAAATTAAAAACAATATAAAAGATAACAAAAGTCCATACTGGGCACAAAGCCCATCAGTAACAATAGACTGTGAACTGTGAAGTGAGTGGGTCAGATGGGCATCTATGCTGGAGCACAGGGTCCAGCCTGCTACACTTATTGTTCATTATTAACCTTTATTTAACCAGGACATATTCCAATGAGACCGAGGACCCTTTTACAAGGGGCCCTGGCCAAGATGGGAGGCAGCAAACAATTAATTAAAAACATGAAACATAATAAAATGTTAAAAAACACAAGCATGTATATATACACGCACACAGTTTGTGAAAGTCCAACAAACTAAATACTAAGAATCATTTAGCTATACTGAATCACTGCCACCAGTGTTGTCAAGTTAATTTCCTTCTGCAGATCGTTCTAAGTAGCTGGAGCTGAATACACAAAGACTGTTTTGCCCATTTCAGTTCTCATAGTTGGTACAGTCAACAAATACAGATCCTGAGGTGTGAGATTGTACGTGCTTGGCAAGTTCTGTGAAATGAGTTTGAAGAGGAATGTGGGTAGTTTTTGTGAAATAGCTTTGTAAATGAAAATGTACCATTGACTCAGACGCTGCATGGTAAGAGAAGGCCAGCTCACTTTAAATAAAGTGCACAATGGTGAGTTAATACTTTTGCATTTGTTATGAGTCTTAGTGCACTATGATAGACCAAATCCAATTTGTGAAGCCACTGTGACAGTGCATTCATATACTGTATATCAAATCACCGTAGTCAAGAACTGGTAACAAGGTGACTGCAATCAGCCTTTTCTTGGCCTTTAATGAAAAACAAAGCCTGTGTCTGAAATAAAACCCTAATCTCGGCCTTTACTTCTTCATGAGGTTTTCGATGTGATGCTTAACAGACAGATTAGTCCACATTCCAAGATCTTTACAGTAAGGAACAGCCTTCATTTCACTCCCTTGCAAAAAATTATACTTACTAGATATTTACTAAATATTACATTTCATTTCTTTGTTTCAACTGTACTTTGAATTTGGAATCATAAGTGGCAGTGCTGTTCTGGACATTTTCACTGCACAGATTTTATGCCTTGCAACAAAGTTCAGTCAATTTGAACTCTGGCCTTGGCCTTTCAATAAATGTGACACACAAAAAAGTAAAACTGCACTGCAGCTTGCATCTACAGTGCTCTAGGTCTCACCTTGTTGTACCCACAGTGTATAATGCTGATCGTGTGGAGAGGGCCATAGGCTGTGCCCACACTGGCCTTCCATTCAGTGAAATTGTAGAGCACTCAGCCCTGACAAAGAATGTGATTTCTCTGTTTCCACACACAGTGCATCAGTGTTTGTATTGGCTGACTGTGCACATCCCCGAGGTCAAAACTGAGAAAAAGTGAACTGCGAGCTCAGAGCCAGCTGGAGATTGAACCGAAACAGGAAATGCCTGCTGAATTTGTCAATTGTCTAGACTCTAGGTCAAGCGAGAGGGAGATGGAAATTATGTTTGCAGGACCAAGGTGCCAAGGTGACAATACACTGTCTGCCAGTAAAATGTAATATTTAAAGTCACATCAGAAGACAGTGCACGCTGTAAAGAAATATGAGTGCTATGTGCTCAAACCGCTGGTGCTGCAACTGTATACTGTATGATGGAAACTCTGATTTGGGACATCTCTATTGTAGAGTCAAAGTGGCAGGTAATGGAATGTTGAAAACTAGTCAGTGAATGAGCTGGGGAAGAGCAGTTGTGACTACTGGAAGAGGAGGAGGATGGTGCATAATGTATTAAAAACCAACAAGTCATTGCTGGAATCCACAGCCACGGTTTGCCCAAAAAAGCAAATGCCAAACATTTAAAGCTACATTGTAAGTAATCAGGGCTGCACATATGAACATCAAAAAATAGATTTGAGGGATAATATGGCTTTAGTTGTGAGCAGACATAGGCTACCAGATGCCTCTGCCTTTGTTGTACTTCTTTACACTTTATGCTCCAGTGTTTTAAAAATGTTAAACACATAATCTGGACTACCCTGACCCACTAAAACTCACCCATCTGGCTCTACAAACTGGTTAAAACAAGCATTATATCTGACCTCGGTTTGAGTGCACTTTGTTTCTGTTCTTTTCCTTCAGACTGAAAAGGAGTCCGTTCCATTTTTTATGCAGACAGACTGCACCATCACGTCTCAGACAGGGCCCGGGGCCTTCAAAATCCCCCTGTCCATCTGCCAGAGGATCTGTGCCACCTTTGACACTGCCAACGCCAAGGGCAAGGACTGGCAACTCTTAGCCCAGAAACTCCACTTAGATCGGTGAGTGTGTGATGTGTGTCCTTTCACATGATTTGTGTGTTCACCTGTTTCTAATGGCCCATGAACACTAGCTGATGAGAATGATAACAATCCTGTGAGTGTTGTTGACCTCCTGAATGTGGCTTCATGTTGTCTCTCAGCAGTAGGAGACAACACTGATTATTTGGCTGTACAGCATGCACCTGACTGTGTGGTGTCTTGCATGCTATGGGAGGTAATGTGCCCATTGTGCTGGACTTATTATAATGGAAAAATAGCATTACATCAGATGCCAAACTTTTTTTTTTCATTTTTGAGTAGTAAGTCTGATGCATATGTGATCACTTATTACTTGATTGTCCTGTTATATTTGGTGAAAATGTGCACCTACAATGAGATGCTACACTAACACTGACACAGTTCAGTTGTTATATTTGCTTGGTGTCAGCTTGTGGCAGCTATAATCTCCTGCTAAGTGCATGAGTCATGAGATGCCAGTATCTAAGAGTCCTGTGAGATTCCAAATTATCCAGATAAGCTTTCCTCTCCAAGTTGGGCAGCTTTGAACTGAGCCTGATGTGACCAGTGGTTGCAGCCTTTCATGGTACTAATTCTTACCACTGCCGCATGTGAGCAGCAGTGAAACACTGCCCCCCACTGGGCTCGTTGCTACATGGTTGCTATTGCACAGTACTGGCATGGCAACAGGCTGTCTTTTGTTTTGAGTGAGACAGCACTTATGAATTAAACTCAAACCAAACTGTAGTTACCAGCATTTACTGATAATTTGTGATGCTGATTTATGCTTCATGATAATTTTAATACTCTTAAAAGGTCATAGTGTCTAGTTTAACTGTATATAAAACCAGGTTGTTGTGTTTGTGTTCAATTCATACAGATACAGGTAGACACAATTGCTAGTAACAATTGGTGTAACAACACTGTGCTCTTTTGGCGGAACCTTTGACGGACTGCTGTTTCCTGCGGTACACCGTACTCATTTCCTGTTTTTTGTAGTTGCATTGCATTGTGCTTGCTTCCAGATTGTTTAGGAATTAAACTCACTATTTTCTAGGTTCATCTGAATTTTTGAATGGCAACATATGCTTGCACCACTTAAAGCACTTGTTTTGCAGAAGTTCTTGCTAACTACCAAATTTAACTTGCTACTTTAGGTCGGCTAGTTTAGAAGCTAGCTAAGCTAGTAGCTTAATCGAGGTTTTCTCTTGCTGAAAAACTGGTCCATGCATTTGTTACCTCCAGGCTGGACTACTGTAACTCTTCACTATCAGGATGTCCCAATAGTTCCCTAAAAAGCTTCTAGTTAATCCAAAATGCTGCAGCCAGAGTACTGACAGGAACTAGCAAGAGAGATCATATCTCTCCCATATTAGCTTCTCTCCACTGGCTCCCTGTAAAATTCAGAATAGAATTTAAAATCCTTCTCCTAACATACAAAGCCCTTAATGACAAGGCTCCATTGTATCTTAAAGACCTCGTAGAGCCTTATCATC